AAGGTTTGGATATGTCGTGTGAAATTCACGCTATCCTTCCTTTTGGTGTAATCTGTTTAGAAAATGTTTGTTGCTTACTTAAATAATTAGTATTAGTAAACGTTGTTTATTGCTGTATTAATTTACGCACATGCCCATTTAATTCTATTTTTAATTTTTGGATACTAATTATTCGGCATGGCCAGGTGGTTCACTCGCAATCTAAGGGTTGCGTGTTTCAAATGTAAGGGTTTCAAATAACAAGTAATGTAAGAAAGAATTAATGCTTATAAACTAACTATTGTCTGACAAGAGTTGAATCCAACTTTCGACATTTAGTGAGTCTTTTTTTCTTTCCGAACTATTGGAAAGTAAGTAATATAGAAAACCATGAAACAACTGACTAAGATTTATCTTCTTGTAATCGGTATAAAGAGAGAATTGGACAACCAGTCTGTACTTCCCATATCGCTATCAGAGGGAGAAGTTAAATCCATGTGTTCTTTTTCATTCATCTTTTATGTGCTTGTCTTTTCCAGAAGTTTTCTGTAATAACTTCGAGCCAAGTTTTTCATACACATTGAACCTTCTTTTTAAAGTACTAGAAATACCAGATTAAAGTAGACTAGTAGTATGGAAGTGAAAGACACTTTATGTGCTGTTAAAGTTACTGCCAAGGAAGGATAGACCTGGGGCTATAACCCCTGTTCAACCGTATATTGTATTAGCGGTTTTCCTATCAGTTCAGGCCAGTCGAGAATCCCTATACATTTGCATGTGTATTAAAACTGACGAAGAAGCTATGGTCTACCTGCATATGCATATCTCCAGATGTTACTATATGATATCATGGAAACCAAAAAAAAAAAAAAACAGAGCATGGTAAACTGAAGAGCCATAACACTATACTATAGCCAAAGTTCTCTAGCGTAATCAGGGTTTAAAGGTTACTGAGCATAGTACGAAACAACTTTAAAAAATCAATTTAATGATTGGCATTATACGATTTCATTAAAAAATAAGCGTTATTGGGAAAGAAAAATAAGTGCAAACAATGAATGATGTAACTTTCACCCAAACTAATAATGTATGTTGATTACATCATTCAAACAATGAATGATGTAACTTTCACCCAAATGAATAATGTATGTTGATTACATCATTCAAACAATGAATGATGTAACTTTCACCCAAATGAATAATGTATGTTGATTACATCATTCAAACAATGAATGATGTAACTTTCACCCAAATGAATAATGTATGTTGATTCACCCAAACTAATAATGTATGTTGATTTCATTTTCTAGTAAAAAATCTTTCCAGAGGTCAGGTCACTTAATGAAATCATTTTAACAACGAAGATAACATAAACTAGCAAAAAAAAACATCAGATTAACAGGCTTTCTATAAGCGTAGAGATGCATTCATAAGAAGAGCACAATAATGTAATATTTCTAACACCTAACTTTTCTCAACACATATACAGTCAGTACTTTACAGATAAGCGAATTGAGGGGCTGCTTACCGCTTCACACTAGAGCGTTAAAGAAAACATTTCAAATGGAACGTATTCATTACTTTTATCTCTCACACTGGAGAGTTAAAGAAAACGTTTCAAATGGAACGTATATATTATTTTTATCTCTCACACTGGAGAGTTAAAGAAAACGTTTCAAATGGAACGTATATATTACTTTTATCTCTCACACTGGAGAGTTAAAGAAAACGTTTCAAATGGAACGTATATATTACTTTTATCTCTCACACTGGAGAGTTAAAGAAAACGTTTCAAATGGAACGTATATATTATTTTTATCTCTCACACTGGAGAGTTAAAGAAAACGTTTCAAATGGAACGTATTCATTATTTTTTCTCTCACACTGGAGAGTTAAAGAAAATATTTCAAATGGAACGTATTCATTATTTTTATCTCTCACACTGGAGGGTTAAAGAAAACATTTAAAATGGAACATATTAATTATTTTTATCTCTCACACTGGAGAGTTAAAGAAAACGTTTAAAATGGAACGTATTCATTACTTTTATCTCTCACACTGGAGGGTTAAAGAAAAAGTACACCAAATATGTGATGTTTACTCCTATTAAAACAATACATAAGAGTGCCTAATTTGTGCATTAATCACAACAAAATTCGTGGCCAAGTCCTCCTAAGCACCCCTCCCCCAATTATTAGTGAATTGTGTGATCTATTTACTATCTTTGAAATATGCAAGTATGATACTAAACTTGTTACTCAATATAGCATGTTAATATGTTGCTGCATAAGTTACTGGCTAAATTTGAAAATAATAAAACAAGTTCAAGCGCAGAGTAAAGTCATTATGTGAAAAATCCGTGATTTCCTTTGAAAGACGAATGTTAAATGTATACAAAACTGCTTGATTTGCACGAGTGAATTATTGAACGCAATTGCAAGCAATAATTTCAATGCATACAGTGTTTTGTTAATATTAACTATTTTGAATTATGGTCGCAATTTTACGGCTCAAGACTTTTGCCATGATTTGCAAATTTACATCTAAAAAAAAACAATAACCCAAATGGATAAAGACATGAAGGTGTGTGTACTCTCAAAAAATCATATTTTTTCTCACTTTATTAACCACACGTAATAAATATGTTTATTATTTTGTCTTCTCTACTCAATGTATTAAAAATATAGATTTTAACTCTATGTTTTATGCAGAACTAAACTCAATTGATATTATACATAGTTACACGTCCCATTTCTAAAATAATCTGAAAA